ACATACACCGTATTTGAAACCACAGCTGTTAACAACGCTAACCAAAACAGTTGTCTGTATTGAAGAATCGTTTTCTACAACAAAAAGAAATCAAAAATTTCGTTTTATCTAACTTGGACTTACATCAGGAACCACCCATGCTGTAATATGCTTGATAAAAATACCAGCAATGCTTCCTAAACCATTAGAGAGACTCGTCAAAAACCCGGTATAATTAGGCGACAAATCCATTGGTAGTAAATAGAGACCCAGGAAGGAAAAAGCCATGAGAGATATTGAGATTATAAACATAATATTCGCAGCAAATCGGTTACAACCGGCATACGATCCGGTTAACATGTAAATCGGTGGTCCCATCAAGCCAAGACTTGAAAACAACTTTCTCATTGTTAAGTGATTTACGTGACCGTTTCGAGTGATCCAATCGGAGAAATAACCCAAAATGATCATAGTCACTGTCATTGGTAGAAACGGAAGTGACGACATTAAGTCAGTTTGGTCGTTGTTGTACTTGAGAATGTCTTGCATGTAGTCCGGAATCGTCATTGCAATAAAATTCCAGATTAAACGCATTGCAATATTGGCAAAAACCATGATCCAGTTTTGGAAAGAAGTCAAAATTGCGAGGTAAGGGACGCTCTTGCGTCTGTGGTCGACAATTCCCTCTAAAAACGCACTTTTTAACCATATAAAGCATCAATTAAATACAAATTCAAATTTAGAAAAAAAATATTCAAAAAACTAAGATGATCCCAAAAATTAAGTAGCAAGACTTAATTTTGTCCCACTGATAAGAGATATTTATTATAATAATTTGAAGTTATTATTTTTAGGAATTGGGTAAAAACTATCACTGCAACAGACTTCACTTCATGTATTTTGACGTAAATAATTCATATGGTGCGGCCATGTCGGAATACTTTCCATATCAGTATAAAAAACCATAAACAATTTAGTTGTAAGTTTTTAAAAGTAATCACAACATCATTTTTCATAAAATTAAAGTGCAATAATTGAATATAGTTTGGTCATTGCCCCACCGTACAAGTGATAAATGTCGATTTTGTTACTTTTATCAATAAATTATTGAATTAAACATTCTGTATGGTTTTATTTCAAACATAAATGCTAAATATTCTTAACATTGGCACCACTGGTTAATTTGTTCATGGTAATTTTAATATAAGAAGTTGGAAGTTCTGGTTTGTCAGGAGTCTAAGAAAATTTAAAGACAAAAACACAAAAAGAAAGACAAATTCAGTACTGGTCAAAGTTTTTTGTTAAAAAAAAACAGACTTTACTTAATGTATTTTGATATATATAGTTCATATGGTGCGACAATGTCGCAGCATTTGCCATATCAGTGTAAAAAAACAACTTAAGTGACTAAAAATTGTAATTCTTAAAAATTTGATAAAAAATTTACCGATTCATTTATTATATACAAAATTAAAAAAATAAGTGAAAAATCAAACATCTGTGACTTTAGAGAGCTGTCCCAATTTTTTTTACTAAAATTTGACTTAGGGATTTTCAAACTTTAGTAAAATCACCACTGTCAAATTGAAGCTTAACAATCCTACTTACGCATTTCCAGATATAAGTACTAACTCGAAATTTGATTATTTCACCAAATTAAAAAAAAAAAATGAAAAACATACCACCCATTTAGTTACAAATGCTTCTATTTTTTGCGAGGTTTTACCAAAATAAGATCACAAATAACAATTTACTTTCGCTTTTTTCAAATGCTTCATATTTTTCTGCTTTGAGCACAATTATTTTGTAAAATTTCGTAAAAAACTAGTCAAAAATCTTAAAAAAATAAGCGTTTTTCGAGAATTGAAGCACGTTTTTAAAATGAATACAAAAGATCTTTGAAAAATTGTCTCTGACCTGACTGAAGAATTACAAAAATAAATTGAGATGGCTGTTTTTTTTTGTTTCACACAAATTTTTATGTAAAAATTCAAGTTTTTTGAAAGATTTCGCTTAAACAAACTGAAAAATCAAAAAATTTAGTAAAAAATTATATTATACTTTCATTTCTCGGCCGTTTTAGTACAATTATTTTGCAAAATCTTGTGAAAATTTAAGAAAACCTGCCAAGAATGATGCCATTTTTGTCTTTTCGAGTGTTTAACCACGTTTTCAACATAATAACTATAAATTTTTGAAAAATTTTTTTGAAACAAACTGGACATTTACAAAATTAAATCTAAATTCGTTTTTGAACTAGAAACTTACTGATTTTTCAAAATCTTGCCTAAACACGTCTAAAAATCAGAAAAATAAATTAAAATTGATGTTATTTTATTGTTTTTGTGCAAAATTATGACAAAAATATACCGAGGAACCACAAAATTTAGTCGAAAACGCTTTTAAGCACGCTTTTATACTAAACTTTTAGGTTTTATGGAAAATTTCGCTATAAGAAATACAAAAATCAACAAATTTAGTCAAAAATCATATTATTATTTCATTTTTTATTGCACTTGTTTTGACGAATTTTTGGGCAAAATTTCAAGTTTTTCTAAAGATTTCGCTAAAACAAACTGAAAAATCAAAGAACTAAGTCGAAAAATATATAATTTTTTTATTTCTCGTCCGGTTTAGTACATTTTTTCGTTAGAAACAAAATTATTTCGCAAAATTTTGTGAAAATCAAACCAAAAATTCAAGAAAATCTGCCAGGAATGGTGCCATTTATGTCTTTTGAGTGTTTAACCTCGTTTTTAAAATAATAACAATGCATTTTTGAAAATTTTTATCTCAATTTGTTTTTGAACCAGAAACTTATTGATTTTTAAAAATTTTGTCGAAACACGCCTAAAAATCGCAAAAATACATTAAAATTGATGTTATATTTTTTATCTTTGTACAAAATTAAGACAAAAATATACCGAGAAACCACAAAATTTGGTCGAGAACGTTTTTAAGCACGATTTTGTACTAAAATTTTAGTTTTTTTCGGAGATTTTGTTATACGAAACAAAAAAAATCAACAAATTTTAATCAAAAATCGCATTTTTCGGTTATTTTAGCAAGTTTTACAGCTAGAAACGCAATTATAATATTATTAAAAACAAGCCAAAAAACCGCAGAATTCGGTAAAATCAGTGTCTTTTTCTACGTTTTTGAAATAAAAAATTATAGAAAAAATTAAATCGAAATTGTTCCTAAAACAATCCTAATTGAATTAATATAATGTTTCCATTTCTCTATTGTTTCAACACGTACCTCTCATAGCTTTTTATTAAAAAAAAAAAACAGAGTTTAATGTATTTTGATATGAATAATTCATATGGTGCGACAATGTCGGAGCATTTGTAAAAAAACAACTTTAGTGCCTAAAGTCGTAATTCTTTAAATTTAACACAAAAATTAAAAAATTTCAGAATGATTTTTTATCAAAAATCAAAAATTTGTGACTATAGAGAGCTGCACTAATTTTTTTAACAATAATTTGACTTGGTGATTTTCGTTAAATAACCAAACTGTACTAAAATCACCACTATCTGACACTGTGAAATTGAAGTTTGACAATTTATGCTCAATCCCACTTACGCATCTCCTGATCCAAGTACTGTTTCTCTTCCGGTGTAATCCTTGGATCCTTGTGAGGATCCGGGAACACCCAGAGCTCCCAAACCAGGGTCAAAATAATCCCAATAGCCCCGAAAACATAAAACGGCGTTGCCCAATCTCCCGATGATTCCACAATTAAGTTAGGCCCAATTTTGCTTACACAAATCCCAAGAAACAACCCAGCGACTGTTATCGATGTTAGGGCAGCTCGCTCCCGCATTGGGGCCCAATGGGCTATCATATTCGACGACGCGGGGAAAAAAATCCCCTGAATTGCGCCCAAAAGCCCAATCACAAATCTCATCACATTTACATTGCCTTTTGTCACTTTGATAAGCGACGGACTTGAAAAATTGATAAGCGAACTTGCGACTGTCGTAAATGAAATCAAGTGTTTTGGGTTGCGACTATCTGCGTAAATCCCTGCTGGAAAGTGGGCAATCAAGTAGCAGATGAAGAATATGCCTTGGAAGCTCTTGATTGTTTCACTCTTAATTGTGAGGATTTTGGTGAAATTCTGAAAAATCCTTCGTTTTGTGAGAGAAATAAGAAATTGAATGCTAACATTTGGTGATTTTTTCACAGCGTTTTGGTGCAGTTCCACACAATGATTTAAGAATTTAGTGTCATTAGTTTTGTGTGTTATCACAGCGAAATAATCCGAAGTCTCGCTGATAAGATTGCGGTTTGTAAATAAATTCATTGTCATCAATGTAATCATAAAAGTCACTAAATACCGTTGACGGAACCATGCTGAAAAATTTCAAATTGAACAAGCTGAAACTGAACTTCACTCACATCTTCGCGTTGTTGAGTCACCAGAGGAATTAGAGGTAGTTTCACTACTTTCAGGAACTTGACTAGTTTCCATATTTTAACATTTTGGAAAAATGAAATGAGCCAACTTGACTCTCACTATAATTCAAAAATTACACTCAAAAATTTCCAAAAACGCATCAAAAATGTCAAAAAACACACACTACCTCTAAATTGTAGAGTTTCTAGTCCTACTTGCTTATTTTTAGCTGAAAACGTGTAATGTTTTAAATTAAAAAATTAAAAAATTAGACTAATTTTTCATTTCTCGACCGTTTTAGTACATTTTTCGTCAAAAACAAAATTATTTCACAAAATTTGTGAAAAACAAACCAAAAATTCAAGAAACTCTGCCAAGAATGGTGCCATTTATGTTTTCCTCGAGTGTT